CGCCGGCCACCTGGGCCGGCCGTCGGCCTTCGCGCAGACGCGCCCGGTGAAGACCGTGGTCCTGCACCCGCGCTACCGCCGGGCCGTCATGGACTACGACATCGCCGTGGTGGAGCTGAGCCGCGCCGTCGCCGAGACCAGCTACGTGCGGCCCGCCTGCCTGCCCCGCCCGGAGCAGGCCCTGGAGCCCGACACGTACTGCTCTGTCACAGGCTGGGGGCACACGGGCGACCGAAGTAAGCCGGGCGGGCCGCCGCGCTGCTTGCTAGCCTGGCGAGCATTCCCACTTCGCTTCTCACAGTGTGGGCGGGAATGGCAGATCCCGAGCCCCTGTGTCATACTTGGCCTTCCGGGCAAAGGATAGAGGTCAGCAGGGCGCTCAAGCCTGCCAGGCTCAGAGGCAGCCTCGGAACCTTTCCCTGGGGAGCGGTGCCAGGCTTCGGGGCGGCCACGCGAGGTGGGAGCGCTCAGCCATCCTGGGGCCGCCTCCACGGGGCCCGCGCGCTCCGTCTGGCGTTCCCAACCCTGTGTTATGATTTGGTCTTGTCGACCTTTGTAACACAACCTGTAAGTCCTTCTACAAAGAAAACTGATTTGCTATTTGCCTGTTTAAATGGGCTAAAATAGTTAGGCTCCCTCGATGGTTTAAACGGATAAAACACAGAAATGTAAACATTTGTTCTACTTGCTCCGAGCCCCCAAATGGACTCTCATTTTGCTTGACCTCTTAAAGTTTAGAATAAGAATTGAATCCACGAGACATTTTCTTTCCAAGGCCACTCCGTATCAAGCGCTCTCAGGAATGGCGAGGCAGATGGGTGTCCTGTTACCTACCTTAGCAACTGCCAATGTGAAGGACATTTTTATTTGGAAGTTCAGTCAGATAAGGTTTGAGCTAAGCTGAGTTTCCTTTCTATATGATCAACTGAGGACAAAAAAGAAAAATTCAATAGAAGTAGGTCAGTGACGTCTGAAAAGCTCACGTGTAAGAACTTTACAGTCAGACATGATGTCATGTTCCTGCACATCTTGGTTTTTCAAAGCTACAGGTAGTACTGTGATATGAGATGGGAGCAGTGTATATTTAATATTGCCTCTACTGGTATTGCTCCCACAATATCCATACCAAACTGAGAGCAGTCCAGTGACATAGCGCACATGCCACAAATAGAGTGCAGTGTGAAGGGCGAGGGCCCAGCCTGGGTGAGAAAGACCTGACTGACCCTGACTGCACCACTGTCTAACTCTGCAGTGGGGAACATCATAGCAGCTGTCAAATGACAGGGTTGTTGTAAAGACTGAAGACGACAGGCCCGGAGGATGGTGCGTTTAGGTGCCCGGCCCACTGCTAGGACCCACTACATGCTAGTGATTGTTCTTACTACCATTCTTTTGATAACTCCTGAGACTTTCACTGTCCTCATCACATTGATTTTTCCAAACATGATTCTTTCTCCCAGTAAGGCGCCCTGTACAACACACAGCTTCACCTTCACCTTCCAAAAGGAGAGCAGGGGTACCTTGTAGAATGGTAAACAACGAAAGATTATGCTTCGAGAAGTCAATTGTTATTCTTCGAGAACTTTCCAACAAGATGGATTCACATGCTCCCCTCTGACACTAAGGGATGTCTTTGTCCCTTTCAACATCTCTCTCATATCCACTGGGATTAAAGGTTCTTGCCTCAAATGATGGCTACTGTAGTGCATGGTGAGACACATTCTGTGAGCCCAGGAGAGGGCCGGCCTGGCCCTGCTGGACGCACCAGTGTGTGTCCTGCGGGAGAGCGGGACCAGTGTGCTGAGCTGACACTCAGCTGGCCGCCTCTTATTTGGGGCAGAGCTGTGGCTTGGTTATTTTCCATTTCATTGCCATGGCTGTTGTTTTTATCGCAGCATATATAATAAGAGGGGGAAAGCATGATCCCAGTTACCTAACCAAGTGACTTAGCCATTCTGTGCCTTGCTTTTCTTAATAAAGTAAAGGGGGTTTGACCAGAAGGGTTTGTCAATGCTTCTAATTGGACAATTCTGATTGCAAACAAGCTTTGTCTTTGAAATAACATTTTAAGAATATGGTTTTGGGATATAAAAACGTAATCATTTCATATATGGCTAGCATCATTTTTGAGCCATTTAACCCTCCAGTATATTTTATTTCTCCTAAATCCCCAGTGCCTTTCAAGCTGCAGGAGGGAGAGGTCCGGGTGATTCCTCTGGAGCAGTGTCAGTCCTACTTTGACACGAAGGCCATCACCACCCGGATGATATGTGCTGGCTATGAGTCCGGCACCGTTGACACATGTATGGTAAGTTGTTTTCTGATTATCGAGGTGATTGAGCTCAGCAGTAACTTCGATGGGTTCATATAAACTCATTGTTATTCATGTGAAGCCCTTTGGGAACATTTTTGGAAAATCATTCGTTAGCCGATGTTTATGACACTGTGATTTCCTCCACCCAGTACCCTATGAACCCCCTCACTTGCTGTCTCCATGCTCTTCGCTCACTCAAGTTGCCTTCAGCTTTCTTATCTGCTCTCGGGGAGCAGCACCTGTGTCAGCAACAGGAGGGAAACAGCTGTTCTGCTCCATCTCATTGGACCACTTTAGGGGCCACCAAAAGTGTCATTTTATTATGTTAGCTCGGTGGTAATAGCACTGTTGAATTTCTAAGAGGAGCAAGTGGTAACCATGGCTTCAACCAGGCTGCCTGGGAAGCAGGGGGACCCCAAAGGACAGTTTTAGCCATCGGGGTGAAAGCTTTAACGCACACACAGCACCCCAGCTCCTGGGTGTGTCACAGACCCCTCTTTCTTAGGAGGTGATCACACTGGCGTTGTCTGGGCCTGCACTTGATTGCCAACGTGTCTTCAAATGTCACTGAATGCGATCTTCAGGGTTCCTGGTCGCAGCAGTTCATAGAACATGCTAAGGGAAGCATTTTTATTTTCACTTAATAAACACTCATTGAATATTATACTGGACTGGCTCCCAAGGAAGGATTAAAAAGGGCAAGTTGCCAAAGACGCTTATAACAGAGTGGGGACAGCAGTTATCCTATGTCCCAGCTAAGGAGCACCTTCGTTATTTCATTGCTTTGGAGCAGGTCCAATTGTCCCCTCCTCCCCCATGCCACACACACACACACACACACACACACACACACACACACATATTTCGGAATTGCAGAAGAGATGCAACAGTGCTATTACCACTGAGCTGACATAATAAAACGACACTTGCGGTGGTCCTGCTTCAGAGTGGGTAAATCGGGACTGGGAATGGCCCGGTGGTGATTCCTTGGACAGTTGTCAGGGGAAAGAGGGAGGCAGACAGCTGGCTCCCTTGGAGTTTCACTGAGGCCACCTTCCTTCTGGCCCCTTGGCCACAAGCCATCCAGCGGAGGTGGCCAGTAGTAGAGGAATCTGCCTTCCACGCAAGAGTCCCAGGTTTGATTTCCCAAGGCAAAAAACAAAAAAAGGCCGAATGGTGTGGGGCTTAGGACGTAACATTTGCAGCCTGAAGGATCTGGGTTGGGTCCCATCTCTGCCCCAAAGAACAATGTGACCTGGAGAAGTTATCTAACCTCTCTAGAAAGTTTTTTCATGAGTCAGTGGGGACCCCGCCTAATTTCTGGGGTGTTTTGAGGACTGAGTAAGTTAATATGAAAACTCCTATCTTTCGCACATCAGCGCGGGATGCCTGGCATACACGCAACGAAGGGTAACTATATGAATATTAACATCTATCATTTGGTGGTCACTGTGTAGCAGGACCTCTTCCAGATGCTTGATAACAACTCATTTAATCCTCACAGTTTCCTGTTGTGGCAGCATCAGTGCTTTTCCTAGATTACAGACCAAGAAAAGAAGGGACCCGAGAGGTTAAGTAATTCGCCCAATTTCACCCAGCACGAAGGGGGGTAGAGTGAGGACAGGAGCCCAGGCAGCGCGGCCTCCGGGCCCAGGTGCTGGGCACTGGGCTGTCCTAGTGGCGGCCAAAGAGCAGTGCCTCTCCCCTTGGTAACTGCCAGAGGGGGCAGGAAGGCGACTCTTGAAAGAGAACTGAAGGCTGTGCAGGGCCAGGCGCAGGCTGGTCACATCATGACGTCTAATGGAAGCAAGTCCCCGGCTTCCTCAGTAGTGGGATCCGGCCCTGGGGGGCCTCAGATGCAACCAGAGGTCCTCTCACGACTGCACAACTCCAGGCAGAAGAGGAAAACCACAAAACAAGCAAAAGCTGCCTCTGACTAGGTCTGGGGTTCCTCTGACGGGGGGTTCCCCAGAACCCCTCATTATCTTTCCGATTCATCAGTGGAGCACATTGGAAGCTGTGGGTCCCTCTGGTGAGGTGTAGGAATCATCGGGATCAATCCTGAAGCCAAACATTAACTTTGGCCCAAGCCCAGTACCGCTGAGGGAGAGGGGCCAAGAGGCAGACCGACGGTGCTCAGCCGCGGGCTCCCCGTCGATTAAACGGCTGCCCCCCGCCTCCCGTTTTCCGCCCCAGAGCCCGCGGCCTCGCCAAGGCCGCCTCGAAACCCCCGCTCAGGCCTTAGGAAGGCGCGTCCGCCCCTCCAGCTGGAAGGGCTTGTTCGTTCCTCTGACGATGCCTTTTCTTAGGGTCCTTAGATCGTGCTTTCACGTAAAGGTGTTCTTGTCACCAAAGCGGACTTGTGGCCCCTCGGTGACTAAAATAGTGCCTTCACCTGTGTGGACTTAGCATGAACCTGCAAAGAGCAGGTGCTAAGTCTACGCTAAGTTTCTCACCTGCAGGTGTAGCGCGAGCCTGTAACACGCTCCACTTTAATCACTCTGTGGCATAATGAGTAGCTCAGCCTAAGTAAGTCCCATCTTAGTATTTCTTCTGTACAGGGGGTGGTGAAAAAACTTGTGGACTATGTCTCATGAAATGTTTCCAGTAAATGTCGCTTAAAAATGATCCATTAGGCTTTTTAAGCAGAACAAGTTACTCAGCTCCTTGTATGGTCTACACTCACTATTTCGGCTGCGGCATTGCTAACTTACGAATGTAAAGCTCACCGCCCCCAGGGGAGCACGCAGCATGGCCGACTCCGTGTCGCTTTGGCAGCGTCTGTGCACCGTTTCTAAGCAAGAGGGCCTGGGAGTTAGAGGTTTGCAGTCGCGCTGCTAGCCTGGCGAGTTTAAATCGCAGCCCTGCCGATAAACAAGTTATAAACCTGTTGTGCTTCACTTTTGTTATCACTAAAATAAATATAATAATAATAATTATATCACATAATTATCAACTCATACAGATTTTGTGAGGATTAAATGAGCTAATACAGCAAAAGTGTTCAGAAAAGTATCAGTAAACATGATTTTTCTTCTTTAATGTTGCCAAGTGGGAATGGCCATGGATATACTTCCAAGTCTGAATCTCTTGCAGGGCTAGGAGTATTTCTCGATTTCCTCCATACTTGCTCCCTTCTTTTCTAAGGTATCCATCCTTCCCTTTGAGGCACTGCGAGACACACCGTCTAACCTACTTTGATATTTTCAGATGTAGCAAATATTGACTTTATAAAGTCATAGTGTCTTAAGGTTAATTAAATGCGGCAAAAGAACTGCATAAAACCCAAATGCAACACCTAAACTTGTATATCAGGAATGAAAATCTATGCGTGTGAAATCCAATGTAGGTTATAAATAAATAAAATACCTTATGGTAAATAACTCTTACGTGGTATTTTCCATGTAAGCATGCAAACTGAAAAGGTCCTAAAAACTATTAAGAAATGCAGTACGTGGTCCCTGAGTATGTTTTTCTTCATGCATTCATTCACATAGCAAGAATCTGAACGTAGTAAGTTAACTTAGAATACTTTTCTAGTATTTCTTATGGGAAGAGAATCTTTGAATGTTCCATTTTGGATACTTTCTATATTTATAAAATGGAACAAAGTTAAAGAATGAGATTATGAGATAATTTATTGCAATACAATAAATTTTAAAAATATATGACATTTTGGTAAGTACGAGAAATGACTAAAAATGTATTCTAATTTTACGGGAAGAAATAATAGAGTCCTTTCCCAAGCCACCCCTGTCCTTTTAAAGATGAGTTTAAAATGTCCATTTGGAAGGTCCATCGATGTGGTGGGAAGCCTGTTCCTGCCACAGGCTGGCAATAAAAGCTCTGTTGAAATTTTCCAAAAGGTTAGTTAAGCTGGGTTTGGCTTTATTTTACCCTCAGGATAACATGGACACCGTTAGGGCTCCGAAAGCCCAGTGCCTAACGTCCCTTGCTATTCATTACAGGGTGACAGCGGAGGACCTCTTGTTTGTGAGCAGCCCGGGGGACAGTGGACATTATTTGGTTTAACTTCATGGGGCCCCGTCTGCTTTTCCACAGTCGTGGGGCCTGGAGTTTATAGCAATGTGTCGTACTTTGTCGAATGGATTGAGAGGCAAATATACATTCACACCTTCCTCCTAAACTGATTCCAAAGATGGCCAGAGACTGCCAGCGACACTCAAAGAAAGTGGCCTTCTTGACTGTGGGGCGCTTCCCGCGGAGAGCTGTACAGAGAAGCACTTGCCGGGGCAGGGACGCTCCACAGCGCCCCGCGCGTGCTCATGTTTGTTTTGGTCTAATGTTATTCAGCTATATATTTTTTTCCAGCTTTATTTTTCTCTTATTTCAAGTTCAATGAAAGTCTTTTAAAAAAAGAAGCCAAGCAGGTTTGGTGTTTTGTCAGCCTATCCTTGACTACTGGCGCAAAATCGTAGACTGGAGAGGTGGGGTGTGCAGGCGCTAGGCTAACAGTTACAAAGCTCCCTCTTAGCCAGTCACAAAAGGACACAGATCCAGGCTGGCTCATCTCTGCCAGCTTTTGTTTCTCAAGTACAATAGTAGCGGCAGCTTTCAATATTAACATCAGTGACCTGCTTTTGATTTTTTAAAAGCCAAGATCATTTACATGCTTAAATTATGTACTATTACTCTTCTAAAGTTTGCAAAATTTTGAGCACTTACGAAAGACAGTCAGAGGTGAAAGACAAGTGGCATCCCTGTAGGTAGCTGCAGTAGCAGGACATACTGACTGCAAAGCTCTGTAGACGTCACTATTAGCCCTGACGTCAGAGGACTGCCCATTCTGAATGTAAGCCAAGGTTGTAATGTGGTAGAAAAGTCTCCATAGAACCTTCCCTATAGCTGGCGTTTGTTCAGTGTATATCAGTTGGCCGACTAAGATGTCAACGTATTTTTATTTTGCTTTTTTATTAATTATATTTTAATTATATTTTAATTTTGTTTCACTTATGTGACAATGCATCTGAGATTATACTTTACCAAAGGAGAACTTACTTGAGACTGGAGAGATGCAACAGAAAAAGATTAAATTGCGCCCTACCCCCAATTAAATATTTTCCAGTTTGTCCCTACCAATAAAGTACAGAAATGTATCTCAAAGCACAGGAAAACTCTGCATAACATTTTGTAATTTTCCTTGAAAGATGTTTAATATCTGGTGTTGCCGTTTCTTCCCATCGACAATTGAAACAAAAGTTTAAAGATGCTTTTAAGCACTAGGCCACTTTATCCACATGGACTTCTGAAGTGATTAGTGGTTTTTTTCCACACTAAAAAGCTTCAAAACACAAATCATCACCTGTACCTAATTTGATTTAGTCAGGCACCATTTCTGCACCATCCGAATGCCTTTAGAACAAGTAGGATTCCCTACTAACCGCCACCAGCAACCTGGACTGCCTCAGCATTCCACGTAGGGACACCTGCACCTTTAGACATGTATTTTTGTACTCTTTTCTATGTGTACACATATTTGAAATTCAGAGAGTTGTCTAGACCTTTTCCATGTTAGTGATCTCTTTTTCTGCAGTTTGTATGCACCTATTGAGAATGTGAAATCCAGCGATTGAATTTTGGTCACAATTTTATGAAAGTTTAAGAACATGTCAGTTTTTTACAGTTGTAGATATATACTTAATGTAACAACTTTTAGCTTTGCTCTTCTTATGTTCAGTGAAATGTACATAATGTACTTATTTTAAGTAACCATTAATACAAATAAAATGGTATAATCTTTTTTTTTTTTGATGTATATGGAACATGGACAGCAAGTCCCAGCTGATGGTTGGCACCAGCTTCTCACCAAAATAACTGTCTTACATCTATCCAACTTTCACAGGAACATGCTCTTTTATTTTATTCATGTTTTTACTGATTTCAGAGAGAGGAAGGGAGAGGGAGAGAGAGAGAGAAATATCAATGATGAGAGACAATCATCGATTGGCTGCCTCCTGCATGCCCACTATTGGGGATCAAGCCTGAAACCTGGGCATGTGCCCTGACCGGGAATCATGACCTCCAGGTTCATGGGTTGACACTCAACCACTGAGCAACACTGGCCTGGTGGAACATGCTCTTTTATTTTAGATGACACATAGCTCTTCGATTAGTCTGGAATTAGAGGCTGCTAATACTCTCAAATTACCCATTGAATGTCCAAGGGAAACTTTAGCCCTGTAAGAGTGTAAAGATCTTTAATGTCTAGACTACATTTCAGGAAACTGATCCAATTCTTTCATAAGTCTGTTGGGGTAAAATTACATCCCAAAATATATACTATTAATCACTTTTCTTTGGCTACTAGGAACAATGATATTAATCTCTCAGAATTTGGTGAAATATGCTGAATACCAGAATGTAACAGTTCATGTCAGTTTGAGTAACTTGTCTAAGAGTTATTTGCTTATAAATGAGACCATTTAAAGGCTTAATACAGATCCCAGCTCTTTTTCACCTGAGAGCCAGATGTGTTTAAGAACCCAGAATTTTTCAAAATTTAAAAAATACACTTTAATATCCAGCAATAAAATACAACTTCTGTAGCAAATATATAAAAATTATATTAAGTATATAAATAGCTTCCCCTCTGTTCAGGGCATTGAGTTTGTGCCTAGTTTATGTATATATAAAAAATTCAGTTTTCAGTGTTCTTTGGATTTTGGAGTTGTGGTCCCATAACATGAACACTCAAGAATTTCATCTACTCATATATACAGACACCTAGAGTTTTTCTTTTTGGCTTCTTACTTTTATCCTTGGATTCTAACCCCTTATTTATTAGTAAAAATCTCTCTAAACTTTTAATATGAGAAGATGATGATCTCAGGGAATGATGCCAGCTACTAGGAGGATAACAGATGATACAACATCAACTCTTCTGTATAAGAAAAAGCCAAAACAGTATTCTGGTAAAAGGTGTACTTTGGAATTTTCCTTCTAAGTTCTGGTACCAGTTACAGTTGGATTCAGTGAGTATCTACAGGAGTGATGACAGTTTTTCAGTACACATTATTTATTAAACAGTTTATTTAAAATAAAATAAAAACTATAAGGAAGCTGAAAGCAACTTCCATTCGCTATATGGGATTTTGAAAGTTCTGGAAATTGGGCTATGTAAAAGACTATTTGCAATAATATCAGAAGGCTACAGAAAATCAGGCCAGGACAGTAGGCAGCAGGCAGAAGACAAAGCCCTGAGAATAACAGTTTGATGGTCATTAAGACAACTTTGATATAAAAACAAAACATTAGCATGGAGATTTCATGAAGGAAATTCTGGGCGATTGGAGGCTGACGATTTTCAGGCAGACAGATACAGAATTTTTAAAGAACTCAACAACAACACCTGGCCTTATTTGATATAAACTAATGCCAGCATACATGATTTGAACAGCAAGTGTATTAAAAAAACATTTTTCTATGAACCTCAAGGAATCCTTCTGAGAACCACCCGTATTAGTCTCAGTTCGTATCTCAGTTTTAGAGGTTACACCACCAGAAAAGGTGTAGGTATTGTAAAGATGATGAACCGTCAAATGGTCTCTTGAAGACTGTTTTGAAACTGATTGTCGAATCCCGACCAGGCTATTGTCAGTTCTAGAATACAGGACATTGCCAAATGGGCTATAGGCTCGGCTGATTGTCTGTCTTACCCATTCCGCACACAGGCAGGCCTCCAGAAAGGTCTTTCATTGGCTGGAAGCTGGTTCCTATCACCTGCTGGAACCCTGGCATCCCCCCCTTCCCGATGAAGGCTCCACATCAGGAGAACCTGGAACGAGCAGAGAGGTAGCCTAACAGCATCAGTCAGAAGGCCAAAAACTCCTCATAGGAAACAAAAAGCTATTAATAACTAATACATTTTAAATTGTATCATCCCATTTTAGGTATATTGTTCTTTAAAGGGCTCTGGTAACATGTTTCCTCTGGAAATTAGCCATTTATAACATTTCTTTTTTTCATGTAGAACTCTCCCAATTCTAACTAATTAATCTAAAGCTGCTTCTTTTTTCTTAATTAAAAAAAAAAAATCAGATTGGAGTCTGCTCAGTTAAAGCATTTCTCTGGAATCTGAGATCTCACAGTAAAATAAATATATCTCAAATGAATCTCCTTGAAAACATTTATACATCTAAGACAATTAAAATGCTTTTACAAAAATCCAGAATGTTTCATAAAAGCTTTCAACTCTGAATTAAATATTTTACTTCCCTAAACTCTGTCCAGGTCAAACTCCATCGTCTTTTACAAATGTATCAAACACACAAGGAAGGCCATCACATTGGCTTGTTCAAACTAGTAGAACATTCATGACCCTTAAGGAAAAACCCAAGTCATTCTTGCTTGGTAGAGGTGCTTCTTCAAAGACCCTCCTCCAGACCTGAAGGAACAGTTGCAACTCCAAGGAGGGTGTCCTGCTCTTTTAACCCTTTGGGGGTCCAGCCATCCCTCAGGTCTTAGTTTCAGAACAGTCTGAGTCTAATGCAGTTTCAAGTACAAATAAGTTTCCTTGCTCAATAGAACAAGCTGATGGCGTCATTGCAAAGACAGCAGAAGGGCCACACGTGGATCCTCCCTCTGGCCTGGCAGCTGCGTGGACAGCACGCTCAGATGCCGCCTGACCCAGCTGCCCAGCCCCTCTCCACTTCTTGAGGGCTTCAGTCCTCGCCTCTGGAGTCAGCCTGTCAAAGTGCTTAGCCCTCAGGACTGGAGACGGAAACAGGGATCCCTGAAGCACTCGGTACACAAACCTGGGTTACAAAAAGCATCACGGGATTACATTCACCTCAAATGCATCATGGGACACACAAAAAATACTCACCAATTAGAAACAGTAAAAGGGTGGTCTGGTGGCCTCCTTGAGGTAAAGGGGTAGGATAAGCAAAATATAATACGTAGATGATAACAATATTAAATAAATTAATATTTGTAAAGCACTTAAGAAATAGTGAGTGCCCTATGAGTGCTTGTTAAACAAATAAAACAAAAATCTATAATAGTAGATACCAATTGTGCTACGTCATAGGCATGATGTTAGGTTAAATAAGAAAGTACATGTAAAGTAGGCAGAGTGTTGTTGGCACATAGCAAATGTTCAGAAAATGTTAGCTATTAATGCCTTATGGCTACTGTAACAAATTACCACAAATTCGTCCTGAAGATGGCAATGTTTATGCTGTTACAGCATTCTCAAAAACTTTGTGGGTCACCAATATATGTCGTGGAGATTTATGCCATTAGATAAGAGGGTCTTCCACAGATCTTTCCTGTATAATCCCATCTCCTCTCTTGATGGCTGTAGAGGTGGTAGAGGGGATCCATGAGTCATGCTCCTAAGCTCTAGCAGAAGGTTGTCCAGCCATACTCTTGGCCTCTCTACAGCATACTCCTAACAATCAATCTCCTGATTTTAGCAACTTTTGAAATCTGGATAGGCTGAGGATTTCCTAAATCTGCTTCCTTCTGACTTAATAGTTCTTCCCTCATCAGGTTTCTCTCACAACTTACCACAGGCAATAAAAGGAAACCAGGCCAGACCTTCAACATTTCACTTGGAAATCTCCTCAGCTAAACATCCAAGTTCATAATTTACAAATTCTTGTTCCACATAGCAGTAGTGTTTTTCAGCTACGTTTTCTGCCACTGTATTTCCAAGATCCGCTTAACTCAAATTTCCAATAACACATTCCTAATTTCATTTTGAGTCCTCACCAGCAGAGCCTTAAACTTTCACATTTCTAGCCATGTTCTGTTTATGGTAATATATGGATTTTCTAAGATGATATAGGCTTTCCCTATCATGCTTCTCACTTTCCTCTGAATCCTCACCAGCAAGAATTTATGTCCAGTATTTCTCTATGATGTGCCTCAAAATTCTTCCAGTCTCTGCCCACTACCCAATTTTTAAAGCCACTTCCACATTTTTGGGTATTTGTTATAGCAGCATCCATTTTTCTGGTACCAAAACCTATATGTGTTTCCCGTGGCTGCTGTAACAAGTTACCACAAATTTAGTGGCTTATAACAACAGCAATTTATTCTCTGGAGGCCAGGGATTCTGAAAGCAGTCTCACTGGGCCAGAACCAAGGTTTTGGAAGGCCCATGCTCCTTCTGGAGAATCCACTCCTCGCTTCCGCCAGCTCCTGGTGGCTGTTGGCATGCCTTGGTTTATGGCCAAAGAAACTCTGGCTCCATGGTCACAGTGCCTTCTCTTCTTTTTTTTTTTTTAATATGTTTTTATTGACTTCAGAGAGAGGAAAAGAGAGGGAGAGAGAGATAGAAACAAATAGAGAGTCTGATCGGCTGCCTCCTGCATGCCCCCTACTTGGGATCCAGCCCGAAACTGGGGCATGTGCCCTGACCGGGAATCGAACCAGTGACTTCCTGGTTCATAGGTCAACGCTCAACCACTGAGCCAGGAGGGTCGGGCTCTTCTCCTCTTTTGTTTGTGTTAGATCTCCCTCTGCCTCTCTCTTATAAGGACACGTGATTACATTGAGGGCCCACACAGGTAACACAGGATATTCTCCCTGTCTCAAGATCCTTAACTTAATCACATCTGTGAAGAACTTTTTTTGCTACATAAGGTAACATTCATTGGTTCCAAGGATTAGGGCACGGATATCTTTTAGGGGGTCATTTTTTCAGCCTACTACAGCAATATTAGATAGAATTGTACTATTAATACTCTTAAAGGAATTTTTGAAGGCTATAACTTTAAAGTAAGTGTTTTTTCATGAATTCTACAAGCTTGTCTTATCAGTATTTTAAATCTGAAAGCTGGTAACAACAGTGAACACTACAGAAACACCTCAGTTTAAGAAAGAGTGTTAAGTATACAACTATAACCACCGTAGAATGACTCAGGTGGGCTTTCCTTGTGCATTTCCAGAAGGGATGCCCATTAGCAACAAAGGTTTGTGGCCATGGTGCCTTATGATGGTGTCACGGATTGGGGTTGGGAAACTTTTTCCAATGGGCTAGGTCATAATAGTGCAGGCTTTGGGAGCCAGACTGTCTCTGCTGTAACTATCCAACTCTGTTGTACAGCAAAAGCTGCCACAGACAATAATTAATGAGCATGGCCATGTTCCAGCAAGACTTTATTTACAAAAACAGGCAGCAGGCCAAATTTGGCCTGTAAGCCACATTTGTCAACCCTGTTAGAGAATAATATGAAATCGCCATTTTGACTCTCATATCATGTTTAAAAATACAGAACAATGATTTGCAATAATATTTTCAGCTAAACAGATAGATTTTATAAAACTGTAAAGAGGAAGAACCCTAGCAGAGTTTAAAGAACCTATAGATTAAAAACCCATGCATACTTCTCAGCCATTTCCATCCCATGCCATATTAGAAATCAGTTAAGCTAAAATGGGAAGGGTAACTGAGGTCAGAGAAGGAAGGAAAGTTGTATAGTTTTAAGTGTTGACAGGTTGTAGTAGGTGGGCTACTTGTCCCTCACTTAGCACCCATTCTCCTCCCTCTTCCTTTCAGAAAGCCCCAGATTTAGCTACTCAGAGTCTACATGCCAAGGTTCTAGTTAACAAGATATGAGCAATGATGTGTGCAACTTCTGAGTTATGTTCTGAGAGAGAAAGAGAGAGAAAGAGAAAGAGGAGGGGAGGGGAGGGGAGGGAGGAAGGAA